AAATGTACATTTCCGTGATTTTCTACGTAAAAAAATGTCTCTTGGTAAAAATCGCTACAAGCAACCGTTCTTAAGATATTTAGAATGGAAATATTCAATACATGTCATTATGGACAAAAAAATAAACTGATATGAGTAGATAGTTATTTGACGGAAAGGATAATTTTAGGAACTTTTAATTTTTTTAAATTAATCTTAAATTTTTCTTCGAAAAAATGATGATAAAATAGTTTCTGTTAAACTTTTGGCACAAAAACATTCCAAACGTATGATTTCAGTCTAATAACTCAACAAGTCAACATGTTATTTTATGTCAATGATAACAGGTATTGATAATTTCGATTCCAAATATCTGGAGAATCATTTCTCGTAGCAATTTTTAGCAAGAGACCTTTTTTAGGTAAAAAGCATCGTAAATGTTTATTTTTTACTCAGTAGTTTTATACAGGTACAGACGAAAAGTTATAGCCTAACCTAACCAGTTAAAAAATATGTAGGAGGCGTCCTCTAGAAGTAGGAGTCATATTAACATAAAAATCAAATTTCTCATATCAAAAAACTTCTAGACACCAATTTTCATCCAAATATCGACGTTAGTTAAAGAGTTACAATTAATAATACTAATGAGATCATCCTATAGTGCTAAAAAGCAAAATTGATCTTTCTGAGCTTGTCGAAAAATTGTCTACACTAAAAGAAAAGAAAGTGCAATTATTGCTGAACTGAATGCCTCGACGAATTATCAAAAATGCCTTGATTGAATTGTTAGTTATATATCCTTTTATACAATTTCTTAGTAGTTTTAATGACAAAAATAAATATATACGGTAATCGCAAAACAATTTGCGTTGCACGTCATCAACTTTGAGTAACAAGCGATGGTGACAGCGCTGCCAGATTGTGATGGATTTATAAGATGAATCTTAAGTTAAAATTGGGAAGCAATATATTTATTATATCATTTTTTAAATATTTTTCGTTTTATTTTTAATTTAATAATTAATATTTTGGTAATTAATTTGTTTTAGTCACTAACACTCACAGTAGAAATATTTAAATTTAATGCGTTATTAGGTTTATCGTTTTTAAAGGCAGCAGCTACTCGCTATAAATCGAAAATATTGTAGAAATAACTTTGAAAGTGGTATAATATGCTTACCAATCAAACTTACTTCTCTGACTGCAGTCAAGGGTAATAAAGGACCTTTATTGTCTAATAAATAATAGTTTATCAGGAAAGCTACAAGCTCTTTGCTGCGATTGTTTAAATGCTACGGCATATTTTCAACATACAATTTCAAGAAATGCAATATAAAAATTCGAAAATTTAGTTGTCTTTAAATGTACATTTTTTGAAAAAGACTAAAAATCGTCAAAAAACGAGAATTACTCCCAAAGATTCAACAACAACACGATATTATACAAAATAATGACTGATATTATGTTAATTGTCAAATAATAATCGACAACGTTGGTGAACGCGGCGCAATGTGACCAACATGCGATAATAAAAATCGCTTTAATCTAATTTTTGCAGCTTTAATCTAAATAAAAAATCTGTTACAATCATTCGCTGTATAAAGTAAAATGAAGAGCTGCTCTGTATCTTCAGTTATACAACAGATTTAAACATTTTTGGCCAAAATTTCATTTAGGCTGGTTTATAGGCTTTAGTGTCAATTTCGATATGATTGATGACGTGCATCGGAAAATGTATTGCGATTACCGTAGATGTAATTTTTTTATATCCACGAATTTATTTAATTATGTCTAGTTAAATATTTTAAAAGTATTGTAGATCATTCTTATAGCGTATAATAATAATAATAATAATAATACTAGCGTGTACCCGCGACTTCGTTCGCGTCGAATTAATCATTTGTAATGGTGATGATAAAAAAAAAGTAACGTTAATATCTGGAAAAAAATTCTTGCAAAGCAAGAATTTCCATTAACATACAAACTGGATAAAATTTTCTCACATTTATGTCAGCATGAGAAAAAACAATCGAAAAACCCCTCCTTATCGAACCTCTACACCCCAAAGTCAATCCGTTTGCCAAAAATCAGCTTTAAACGTCAAGCAGTTTAAGCAGAATCGTGATTACTCAATGGTCATATTTTATGAAACGCCCTGTATAAATTTTTAAAAAATCTTAAAACATGTAAATCAACAAAATAAAATATACGTGTTTTAAGAGTTTTTCCGAAAGACTCACCGGTTTTTAAATAAAAAAATATTCTAATGTTTGAGGGGTGGTTTCACCCCCTTAGAATTCGAGTTTCAAAAAATCCCTTCTTATCGAACCTCTACACCCTAAAGTCAATCCGTTTTTCCAAAAATCAGCTTTTTACATCAAGCGCTGTAAGCAGGATCGTGATTAATCAATGACCAGATTTTTCGAAACACCCTGTATACATTTTTAAAAATCTTAAAATATGTAAGAAACAAAATAAAATATACGCGTTTAAGCGTTTTTTCGGAAACTTGATCGTTTTTTAAATAAAAATATTGTAATATTTGAGGGGTGCATGGTTTCCCATGAAAGTGGAATTTCGAAAAATCCCTTCTTATCGAACCTCTACACCCTAGAATCAACCTGCATGCCAAAATTGAGCTTCTGACGTTGAGTGGTTTGAGCAGGATCGTGATTAATCAGTAAGTCACTTAAGGATTTTGTATATTGTATAAATTAAAATGATTCCGATTGATTAAAATTTAAAAAATAAAATAGTTGGGAAATTGAACAGGTCAACACCCCTCTCAATACAAAAATGCCTTCGCTACGCCTCTGGGCTGAAAGATAGGAACAGTTGGGTTTTCCGCATTTGGATATAATCAATTTTTAAGTCTCTTTTTCGCCAAAAACACCCGAAAACTCGCACAGGTCGTTTACAACCCTTTATTTTTTCTGGACGGGGATGACTACACCCTGCTGATTAACATGTCGCGCTGTGCGGCACGCTGGGGCTTTAAGGGATGAAACAGGGGCGGTAAGGGTTGGGGGACGAACGCAAAAACATCGTTGCGTGCACCGTGCACTTCCGGTCCCGGAAATGTCCACCGGTAATGGCAATTAACGCTGCATTTCCGCTTGCCCCCCACTCCTACACTATTATTCCGGGGATAAACATACAAACGATGATCGTCGATGCCGATATATGCCAAATTTTTAATTGGGGAGGACATGCCAACTGCAAGGTTGGCACAGAAAAAATTTTGATGTGTTTTAGAACAAAATTTAAGGGTGGTCCGCACTGTATTCCAGAAACTTCGGTAGAATATTCTGCAGATAAAAATAAGTAAAAAAGTCCTTATGAATGTGTGTTCTAAAATGCTTATTTTCGGAGATACGGAGTTTAATTTTTATTTTGATTTTTTCCAAATCATTTTTGAACTTATGTCGATATTTGGATGAAAATTGGTGTCTGGAAGGTTTTCGATATGAGAAATTGGATTTTGATGTCAATATGACTCCTACTTGAAGAGGGCGCCACTCAAGGCGCCGCTTACATATTTTTAACTGATTTGGAGAGTATTAACTAGAAAGTAATAACTTTTCGTCCGTACCTGTATAAAACTACTGAGTAAAATAAATTACATTTACGATGATTTTTACGTAAAAAAGGTCTCTTGATAAAAATCGCTACGAGTAATGGTTTGGTTATAAAAAGTTATTACTCCTCAAAACAGTTAAAACACATGTAGGTGGCGCCCCTTACAAATAGGAGTCATATTGACATCGAAATCAAATTAGTCGCCTCAAAAAACTCCCAGACACCAATTTTTATCCAGATATTGACGTTACTTTAGAAATTATTTGGAAAAAATCGAAATAAATATGAATCTTCTCTACCCTCTATCTCCAAAACTAAGCATTTTAGGACATATATATACGAAGTTTTTTACTTATTTTTATCTGCAGAATATGCTGCCGAAGTTTCCGGAGTACAGTTCGAACCACACTGTATAAACCCATCCATAGTTAACTTAAAAAATATTAGAAACTTTTTTTAGTGAAATAAATGGATTGGTATGGACGTCATTTGTTTTTTTTCTGTCATCGTCTGTCGAAATCTTACTTGAGAAAAAAAAACAGTTATATTTACAAAGATAAAACATTAATTCACCACAATACACCAAAACACTTTACTTTTGCTCTTTACGCGCGTTTCGCTAACCATATTAGCTAACTTTTTCATTTCGCTAACCATATTATTTATATTGTTTTAATCATCTGTTGATTGGAACTTTATCGTAAGTTTAGTACTAAGATTAGGATATTAGGAGTTAGGACCAGATATTTGCTAAATCATGCAAAGCCAATTCACTTTATTCTAGTTTATTAAAGTAAAAGTTATATTAGTGATATGGTAGAGAAAACGTCAGTGTCAGTATTCACTATTCAATATTCTAGACAGGGTAACGTTCAGTAGCATTGGTCCGTCAATATATTGTGTTTGGATTATTACAGAATTATAGATAATTAATATATGATCTAAGACACAATCTATATTATATACTGTTCTGTTTATTTTTTCTGTGGATATTAGCTATATTTTATGATCTCTTGTTGTTTAACTTTTCTATGGAATTTCTAAAAGTTTTTGAATTCCTAAAACTTCTCTAGGTTTACTTATTTCTCTAAAGATTTGACGTCATCAGTAGTTAACCTAATGCAGCAAATAAATTTCTAAGAGCATAGATATTAGAAAAATTTAGACTGTTATTTGATCCAGGGGCGTACGAAACCTACTTAATTTATGTTTATTTGTTTTTTCTAATTTCTTTATACGCCCCCCATCCAACGATCGTATTTCGGGCTTCAGACTTCCAGTAAAAGCGTTAAGTGTTGAGATAAGACACGAAATTAATACTGATAGAGAAGTTATTTGTTTTAATTCTCCCACTCATTAGCGTCGACTACTTTTGTTATGATTTCTTTTCCTGTCACAAGTTATTAAACAGATATATGGTAATCGTTCCGTTTTGTCTTTTATTTCAGATAAGGGGAATAACTGATGGACATATAAACATGACGTCTCCATCCTGAAGCTGTAAGTGACATTTAAGTATTTTTATAGAAATTATTAATAAAGATATAACAGTATGAGTATGAAAGAAAAATATTTTCGTGGTAGACGTAGAAATAGGTTTTTCACAGATTAATAGATATTCCTGTGTTATTATGTGGTTCTAATGTTTGTCATTGACTTCAAGGCAATAAATACTGATCAGCTGTGTTTTCAAGATCTAATTGAAATGATATTTCTAGGCCTACTATGATTTATTTTTGGCACGATTGCTGTGGATAATTGGAACGTTGGATTATATTTTATTTATATTCGAATTTTTCGAAGTAAAAACTATTAGATGTACCAAACGGAAAATTAATTATATTCCACATTTAATTTAATGTTTATCATACAGGGTGAGTCTTAAACAAGTGCAAATATTTTTAGGGGTAGTATATTATGACCCCAGAAACACGATTAATTGGTTTAATTTGCGAAAAGACTTTGAAAGTTATGAATTTTTTGAAGAAAATTTTTTGATTTTTTTAGTTTTTAGTTAAAACATAATTTCTTGATAATATGGCAACATATTATGTGGTAAATTATATTTACAAGAAAGAAAACCCAGAGAAGATCTTAAATTTTTTTAAAATCATTTTTATTAGCAATTTTAAAAGTAAAATAACTCCGTTATTTTGGACTTATTTGAAAAAAACGGTAAAAGAAAATATGTTTCTTTTATCGAGATCTACCAGCCCTGAAACTATTTGCACTTATTTAAGACTCAGCCTGTATATTGATCTGAATTAAATTGAACTATTAAGTATCCTACATTACAATTTGAATACGTTTCAACTAATGAAAATAATATATGTATACATATATGTAGAAACAATTATGTAGAACGGAAAAAAATAAAAAAATGTAGTGGGATTTCTTTGTTTGCCTGCAAAGTGGGTTGTAGTGATAAAAAGGAAGTTAATCACCGAAGAAAAGACGTTTATAGTGATAAAAAAATTGACAATGAAAGGAAACGGAAGTTTTATCACAGACACACAAATATAAATATTTATAATTATAGATTCGTTCATTTCTTATTATTTTTTTTATTAGTTAAATGCATCCACCAACCAACTTTCATGATACCACAAAAAACTATTTTACTTTACGCGATATTGATATACAGTGTTCTACACTTCTTTTAAATCAAATGATATTTTAATTTAGAGGTCATTTGCTCAGAAAAATAATATATGCATATATTGAAAATCGTGCATTTTTTTTTAATTTTCCGGTGTATTTTAGAAAACTTTTTAGAAATGTCTTTACACCGCAAATTATCCTAAGCAGTGATGCGAATTTGTGGAAAATTTTCCGACTCGTATGAAATTTTGAGATCCAGAGGGAAAAGGGAAGTCTTAACCCAGTACACCATAATCATGGGAAATTCTAAATTCATATATTATTCGTGAAAAAATTGTTATCGTATACGGATTTCTCAGAAAAGTGAGTAAATTCAAACTAGCAATACCGCAACTAAATACACCATTTTCTGTTGGCATCACACATTATTCTTGTACCTTCTTGAATACAGGGTGAGTCTTAAATAAGTAAAAACTTTTCTAGGGATGGTATATTTAAAAAGGGTAATTTTGACCATCATCTTTGTGCAATATTCCATTACAGAAAGGCGGCAACACAAGTATATTCACAGAGTGACCACAAGGTGTAATTTGTTAATCACTGTTATTATCATGGTTGTGGCACTAAAATGGATGAGGATACAGAAAAAATCCGGTGGCTCCCAATTTTTTTTTAAAAATAACTCATCCAAACTCTGTTATTTTCGACTTGTTTGAAAAACAGTAAAGAGAAAATATGATTCTTTTTTCGAGAGCTACGAGCACTGAAAATATTTGCACGCTGTTTCTGTATCAATAATTTATAATAACATAACTCGAATTAAAAAGTCTTCTTTCAAAAATTTCGATATTCAATGTCACTACAGTTGATTCTTTACGTTAAGTTAGGGCTGCGAGTTTTTTCTTTGGTTAAGTTTTTAATTATCAACTTATATGCTTTTTTGTAAAAAAAAAGCTATGGATTGACGTTGGGCAAAAAATATGTGCGATGAAACGTCCGAAGTGCACGATTTGTACAATTTACAAAAGAATTGAACATAACCTTTCACAAACTAGTATTTTGTACAGTAGCGAGTAGTAGCATAGGTCCGCTGGTATATTATGTGTTGATCATAATAGATAATCAAGCAATCGATAATCAATTCGATGAGCAGTTATTTTATTATGTCACAATTAACTTCTGTTTATATAATTCCCAAATGCTTGTAGGCGTTATGATATATCATGTATAATATCGTAATGTCATTTAATTTCACTTTTGTAATTCCTAAATGCTTTTGGAGTATATAGAGACATTACCCATGTTTCTTTGGATTAAAAACTTACTGATTTACCTACTTACGAGTGTGTCTCGAAAGTGGCTCACCCCTATAAAAAACAATATTTGGTATGTTAGTATATGACACAAATTAGAATTGATTGACGTATTCAATTCTTTTCGCCCACTTCCTGTTTTACCGGAAATAACTACAACTTTTGATTTTTAAATGGCACCCTCGGTATTTTTTTACTTTATTCGATAGAAAATGACATTCTGAATAGAATGACATAATCATATGTCAACTTTTGACATTTTTGCTTAAAACAAAATTGAATTTTAAATTTCAATCTAGAGTGCCATGACTGTGTTAAAAACATCAATTTTTAATCATTTTTTTTTTCAATAATATTCGTGTCTTGTCCTGACCGGTTAAAAGATGCCCAAATCGTATTTTTTTATATCTCAATTTTTTCAAATGGAATGACGGTGGATCATTAGCATATTTGGAAAAAACATTTTTTACGAATGATTTTGTACCACACACTTAGTATTTCAAGTCAAATTGTCGTTATGAATCGCTTGTTGCAATTTCAAATAAACCATATTCGAAAATGTCAAAAGTTGACATATGATATGTCATTCTATACAAAGTGTCATTTTCTATATAATAAAGCAACAAAACACCGAGGATACCATTTAAAAATCAAAAGTTGTAGTCATTTCCGGTGAATCAAGAAACAGAGAACAACTGAATATGTCAATCAATCCTAATTTATGTCATATAAACCAAATATCGTTTTTTTATTTGATAAAATAAAAAAGTTATAAGAGTGAGCCACTTTTGAGACGCACCCGGTATATATTTTCTACGTTTCATTTTTATTGATCGCGAATAAACGTTTTTTTTTTACTATTAAGAATAGAAGGCATATATGTTTGATTAGAAATTCTGATCCAATAACTTGATAAAAACTAGAATAGCCAAGTAGAGAAAATTACTATAATACTTGTATCTATCAAATGAAAGAATACTTATTGGGGAGAGGTACAATACAAATAATTTTCTTTTGCCGTAATATTCTTTGATATAGTTCAGTCAGTATAGAAATGTATCTATACATTATGGTTGTATCTAAATGTATAGTTGACTGATTGACCGAATAATCTGGAATGATTGAAACTAATCAATTTTGACAATTGTCATTTATTCTCTATATTTTTGTTTACATATATGTATTGTTTGGTTTTTAATATCATTTTAGATTTGAATATGCTATTTTGCCACTATTTTCTGTTGAAGTTCTATTGTACAATATCTATATATTATGCCACTGATTTGGATATCAATTATTGCAAATAACATATAAACGTGAGTTACGTGAGCTGTCAATTGCGAAAGATCCAAATCAAATTTAATTTTAATTTTTTCGATATTTTAATAGATACTCTGCTATTCGGGGCGGAGACGATAGTTGAATTAGTCCAGTGATGCGAGCCTTTTGAGTTTGGTGTGTCAAAATTTTGAAAAATCTAAACATAATTTTCGTGGAACTTACTTACTGTGGCTCCTATAATAAAAACTTGGGAATTTTGTTTAAGTAAAAACTTAAAGTATGTACTAAGATGTATTTCAGGAAAATATTTTAACTTTTACAGGGTGATTCAAAAAAGTGTGAGTCTATCAGGATGATTTTTTTCAAATGGAACACTCTGTACATTATTGTATTTTTGGCTTCCTTTCGAATCATAATCGTAAGATAAGAGTAAATATGTTTTAATAGTTTTAAAGATATTAATAATTAAATAAAATATGTACATTTTCAGCTTTTTAAAAAAATATATTAAAAATACAAGAACAGTCCTGATATCCAAACTATATTAGGTATTTATTGTAGATGGCATGTACTTACTTTGCTATAAATATCGTAATCTTAAATCATACAGGATATTCAAAATTATGCGCCAAACTTTCTAAGATATAAAATATTTTTTCTTCGTTTTTTTTAATGGAACACCCTGTATATATTTTTTTAATAGATAGAGAACTAAAAAATGAGCATTTTTGTATTTAGAGTATTTCAAAATATTTAAAGGTTTGGTTTGGTTCGCAGATATTCGAGGTCTTATATTTCATATGGAAATTTCCACAGTAAAGTTTTATCAAAACCACCCCCCCCCCCGTGATTTTTCTCTCACAATTTTGCCATTGAAAGAGCAATATGAGATAATACCGCGAGCATCTGCAAAACTGTTCATAATTTGGAAATATTCTAAATAGAAAAATTGTTTATTTTTAATATATAATTTTTTTTTTATATTTAATATTAATTTTTAAAATATAATTTAAAAAACAAAGAAAAATTTGGCGTAGAATTATGAACACCCTGTATGATTTAAGATTACGATATTTATAGAATAATAAGTATAGACTATCTAAAGTAAATACCTAATATAGTTTTGATTTCAGGACAGTTCTTGTATTTATAAAAAAAATTAAGAAAGGCCTAAAGATATATATTTTTTATTTATTTATTAATATCTCTGAAACTATCAAAATATATTTACTCACGTCTTAGGCATATGTGAAGTGATCTGAAAGGAAGCCAAAAATGTATTAATAAACAGGGTGTTCCATTTTA